CTACACTATAGACTACACTATAGACTAGATTATATAATTCAGACTATATTCCTGAGTATAGTTCAGTGTGTATTTGAGCTATAGTCCTTGTTTTGATCTTATAGTACTGCTATTATGCTATTTAGTTCATTAAACTCATTACGCTAAATCAAAACATTTTTTTTTTTTTTTCTTAATAATTTTACATTATTTTTTGTAATAGTTATTTATGTTGGCATAAAAAACTTTTTGTTTTTGTTGAAAATTAGCAGCTGTTTGCATAAATTAGTGAAACTAAAAAAAAATTATTAAAATTAAATCTAAGTTTTGTAGTAGCAACTAAGTTTGCATTAGCATGGCTGCGAAAATATGAATAAACTTGAAGAAGCTATAACTTGCTTTTAACCACCTTAATTTATATAATTTTGTTTTATTTTTAAAATTTTCTGGATGAAGCATTTTTTGGCTTTAAGTTAATTTATGCGTTTTTAAAGTAAAAATCATGAAGTGTATTTTAAACAGATACTTTTAAGAAATTTTAACAAAATCTGTTAAATCGGTGAAAAAAACTAGAATTCATAAATTAATTAATACTTTTTTTTTACAAAAACAAATAAAGTTTTAACTCTGAAAGTTTTTAATACATTTCCAATCAACTTTCAACTTCTAACATTAACTTCATCTCGAAATGAACTTAATCAATTGTATTTGTTGTTAGCAAATTGAAAAAAAGTATAAGTTTTTCAATAGTCTGTTAAAATTTTAAAAGTAACATTATAATGATTTGAATATAAAAAGAAAATCTAACAAATCATGTTGTAGATACTTTTACTTAAGGTTTTGAATGTAGACAGTTGAAAATTGAAGTAGATCCTTAAAGACAACCATTTAAATAGAGATGAAATTCAAACAACGCACATACTTGCATATATGAATCTGTAACTGACGTTATATGCGGAAATCAACTAAGTCATATTCTATTAAAAAATAATAAATAAATATGTTAAGTAATTAGACAATTCAGACAATAAGAAATTAAACGATTTCAACAGATTGGAAGACATTAAAGTGGATACAATCATACAAAATCTTTTCGAAATTATATCTGACTTAGGCTATTTTTGCTTATAACACTGTAATTCAACTATTAAAATGGGATCTTTAATGCTTTTCAGTAAATATTTATGTAAATAACACTTTCTGATTCTTTAAACAAGTAAGAAAGTATAGTCGGTCTTGACCGACCATATACATAATACCCTACACCAGTTATTAATATTAAATGTGATTTATTTTTTATAATAAGGCATTTATCTTCAATATTACCTTGTTTCTGATACTTTTAAGCAATTTATGAATGAAAAACTAATTTTCTGAAAGAGGCTTAATTAGGGGGGCTAGTTGCAAATATGAACCGATCCCGGTGAAATTTTGTGTACAAAAATATTTTTATAAAATATTTAGTTTTGTTTAATTTCATCGCGATATTAGTGTTTATAGGTGAATTTTGGACATTCAAGTCATTTTCTGAAGGGGACTTTGTATGCAGTTTGGCATGATCATCAAGGCTTGCATGAAACTTAGTTGTGCCGCTTTTTATCGTCATACGAGTATATTTAATATAATTATGAGCTCAAAAGCCCTATTCGGGGGGTTTTCATTGTAAAATAATGGAGCAATTTTAACTATTTTCAATAGGTTTATATCCCAAATTTCATCCAAGTATCTTGAAAATTGCGACCAGTATATTGCGCACAAGGTTTACATAGGCAGCCAGCCAGACGGACGGACATGGCTAAATTCGGGGGGTTTTCATTGTGAAATAATGGAGCAATTTTAACTGTTTTCAATAGGTTTATATCCCAAATTTCATCCAAGTATCTTGAAAATTGCGACCAGTATATTGCGCACAAGGTTTACATAGGCAGCCAGCCAGACGGACGGACAGACGGACATGGCTAAATCGACTTAGAAAACGATTCTAAGCCAGTTTGTATACTTTAAGGTACCAACATCAGCACAAACCCAATAAATCTCCCCCACTAAAGTTGTGTGGGGTACAATCAGATAAGAGAGAAAAAACTTGCATCTCGCTCTTCTTCTAAATAGCTGACCTTCTTTACTCACAGTTAGTTAGTTAGTTTGTTAGTTAGTTAGTTAGTTAGTTAGTTAGTTAGTTAGATAGTTAGGTAGTTAGGTAGTTAGGTAGTTAGTTAGTTAGTTAGTTAGTTAGTTAGTTAGTTAGTTAGTTAGTTAGTTAGTTAGTGTAGTTAGTTAGTAGTTAGTTAGTTAGTTAGGTAGTTAGGTAGTTAGTTAGTTAGTTAGTTAGTTAGTTAGTTAGTTAGTTAGTAGTAGTTAGTTAGTTAGTTAGTAGTAGTTAGTTAGTTAGTTAGTTAGTTAGTTAGTTAGTTAGTTAGTTAGTTAGTTAGTAGTTAGTTAGTTAGTTAGTTAGTTAGTAGTTAGTTAGTTAGTTAGTTAGTTAGTTAGGTAGTTAGTTAGTTAGTTAGGTAGTTAGTTAGTTAGTTAGTTAGTTAGTAGTTAGTTAGTTAGTTAGTTAGTTAGTTAGTTAGTTAGTTAGTTAGTTAGTTAGTTAGTTAGTTAGTTAGTTAGTTACTTAGTTAGTTAGTTAGTTAGTTAGTTAGTTAGTTAGTAGTTAGTTAGTTAGTAGTTAGTTAGTTAGTAGTTAGTTAGTTAGTTAGTTAGTTAGTTAGTTAGTTAGTTAGTTAGTTAGTTAGTTAGTTAGTTAGTTAGTTAGTTAGTTAGTTAGTTAGTTAGTTAGTTAGTTAGTTAGTTAGTTAGTTAGTTAGTTAGTAGTTAGTTAGTTAGTTAGTTAGTTAGTTAGTTAGTTAGTTAGTTAGTTAGTTAGTTAGTTAGTTAGTTAGTTAGTTAGTTAGTAGTTAGTAGTTAGTTAGTTAGTTAGTTAGTTAGTTAGTTAGTTAGTTAGTTAGTTAGTTAGTTAGTTAGTTAGTTAGTTAGTTAGTTAGTTAGTTAGTAGTTAGTTAGTTAGTAGTTAGTTAGTTAGTTAGTAGTTAGTTAGTTAGTTAGTTAGTTAGTTAGTTAGTTAGTAGTTAGTTAGTTAGTTAGTTAGTTAGTTAGTTAGTTAGTTAGTTAGTTAGTTAGTTAGTTAGTTAGTTAGTTAGTTAGTAGTTAGTTAGTTAGTTAGTTAGTTAGTTAGTTAGTTAGTTAGTTAGTTAGTTAGTTAGTTAGTTAGTTAGTAGTTAGTTAGTTAGTTAGTAGTTAGTTAGTTAGTAGTTAGTTAGTTAGTTAGTTTAGTTAGTTAGTTAGTAGTTAGTTATTAGTTAGTTAGTTAGTAGTAGTTAGTTAGTTAGTAGTTAGTTAGTTAGTTGAGTTAGTTAGTTAGTTAGTTAGTTAGTTAGTTAGTTAGTTAGTTAGTTAGTTAGTTAGTTAGGTTAGTTAGTTAGTAGTTAGTTAGTTAGTTAGTTAAGTTAGTTAGTTCGTTAGTTAGTTAGTTAGTTAGTTAGTTAGTTAGTTAGTTAGTTAGTTAGTTAGTTAGTTAGTTAGTTAGTTAGTTAGTAGTTAGTTAGTTAGTTAGTTAGTTAGTTAGTTAGTTAGTTAGTTAGTTAGTTAGTTAGTTAGTTAGTTAGTTAGTTAGTTAGTTAGTTAGTTAGTTAGTTAGTTAGTTAGTAGTTAGTTAGTTAGTTAGTTAGTTAGTTAGTTAGTTAGTAGTTAGTTAGTAGTTAGTAGTAGTTAGTTAGTAGTTAGTTAGTTAGTTAGTTAGTTAGTTAGTTAGTTAGTTAGTTAGTTAGTTAGTTAGTTAGTTAGTTAGTTAGTTAGTTAGTTAGTTAGTTAGTTAGTTAGTTAGTTAGTTAGTTAGTTAGTTAGTTAGTTAGTTAGTTAGTTAGTTAGTTAGTTAGTTAGTTAGTTAGTTAGTTAGTTAGTTAGTTAGTTAGTTAGTTAGTTAGTTAGTTAGTTAGTAGTTAGTTAGTTAGTTAGTTAGTAGTTAGTTAGTTAGTAGTTAGTTAGTTAGTTAGTTAGTTAGTTAGTTAGTTAGTAGTTAGTTAGTTAGTTAGTTAGTTAGTTAGTTAGTTAGTTAGTTAGTTAGTTAGTTAGTTAGTTAGTTAGTTAGTTAGTTAGTTAGTTAGTTAGTTAGTTAGTTAGTTAGTTAGTTAGTTAGTAGTTAGTTAGTTAGTTAGTTAGTTAGTTAGTTAGTTAGTTAGTTAGTTAGTTAGTTAGTTAGTTAGTAGTTAGTTAGTTAGTTAGTTAGTTAGTTAGTTAGTTAGTTAGTTAGTTAGTTAGTTAGTTAGTTAGTTAGTAGTTAGTTAATTAGTTAGTTAGTTACTTTTGCAACGTTTAACTGTTTTGCTCTTAGTATTAATACTACATACGTATATGTATAGAAATAGAAAAAAACCAACAATTACGTATGTATACAGAAAAAATTCAAAGCATAAAACTTATCCAAGAACATCCTGTTATCCTTTGCAAACATATTTCACTTAAATATTTGTGTTCATACACAAATATTTATTTAATAAAATTCTCTTGTTTAAAATTGAATTATTTAATATTTTGCAAACAAAAGCAAATGTTTTTCTGTTGAATATGCAAATTTTTTTTGGTAGATTAGTAACATGGGTCAGATAAAGTTTATTCAGTAGAACTTTTAAAAGTATTGCAATGTGAAATATGTACATACATACATATGTACGTATGCATGTGAGTATGTAGGTACATTTAACATGTCATTGAAATGGAAACATTTTTTTCATTTTCAGTTGGAAAATTTTTAAGAAATAGGTATTTTTTACAAATTTAATGGATTTATAACAATTTAAATGCATTTAGAAAATTAAAAGTTTAACTAACTGTCAACATTTAGCAAAATATACCAGTAAAGTGTTTTTCTTACTAAATAAGTTAAGAATTTTATTTTAAAAAAATTGTTTATTGTCACAATATTTTTAAAAAATTTTATAAATACCTTTTCCAAAATATTATCTGTTAATTATAATGAATTAAAAAATTAAAACTAATTATCATTTATCTCTTTTTATTTACAGTTAGTTAACATAATTAGAGGAATGAAAAATTCAAACGAATAGACCTGTTTTATAACGAAAAAAAAAAACAGTAAAAGAACAACAACAAACAAATGTTGTTGTATTACAAGAAACATTTTTGATGTGCGGTTAATTACGGTTTCGACCACATACGGACCACATCAATCTCTGCACTCTACTACTACAACTACTACTTCAACTACTGCTATTCTATATACATACATGCGCACAATATACACACACAAATACATATGCATTCACATAATACACATACAAAATACTTAATAATCACTTGCATAAAAAACCACACAACCACATTTTAACATACTCACACACATACATATTTAAACACATAAAGAGTTACAGCAACAAAAGAACACATAATCTTGCAACAAACAAACAAAAAATGCATTTTCAACAACAACAACTACACCACCTACAAAAACATGGTTTGCCATCAACAGCAATTACCACAACTACAACAAAAACATCATCATCAGCCTCATTTCACTCGTCATCACAATCATCAAAGTCCTTCTCCTCGTCCAGTTGCTCTACAGTTGCAATATCAAAAACCAAAGGAAATTTTATGAAAATCACAAACAAAACCAACTGTTGTAGATGCAGTAACAGCAGTAGTTGCTGCTCGCACTCGAAGGCAACCAGAACCTCAAGTCCAACATTACAATTGTTGTTGAAACACATTTTAATACTCCTGCTAACCATCTGCCATACAGTACAAATCACAAATGCGTATCTCATCATTGTACACGAGAGTACCGAACCAGGTACTGTTATCTTTAATGCCTCCGTTTATAAGTTGGGCTCGGAACGCCACTACAAAATCAATGCCCATAAGTCGGCTCATTTTGTGCATCATCTAGTCGCTGTCAATCACAAAGATGGCCAAATACAATTGAAAAAATCTCTTAAATGTGATGGCATCTATTATCCGAATCTATTTACTTTCTATGTGGATTCCACTTCGAATAGATTGCGCAGCATAGATTACTATAGTCTGCCTATACGTATATTCGTATCGGGTCATACCTGTAATGAGGATCGTCGCGTGGAGGAGGAAATTCATGCGCGTCACTATGAGGAAGAGGATACTGGGTATTCGAGACGTAGAAAAAGAAGAGATTTGCTGGAGGACATAGATGACTTAAGTAATAGTAAATCTCTGCAGCCTATTACCACAATAACCTCTAATACTTTAGATCTTTATAATCATAATCATTCGCGCAATGATTTTCGTGAGGGTGATTTGATATTTGGTGATGCCTATGACAATGAAATGCGTCATCGTATTTTGTCACGCAAGAGACGTGGTTTTAGTGACATAAATCCCTTTACCCTGGAAACTAATTTACATCGTCGCATTACCGATGCTAAGCAATGGATTTCGGAAACTTATGCCTCCTATGCCATACACACCACCGATAAATGGAATCAGATATGCTTAAGGAAGTCCCAGTTTATTAATAATTTAAATGCTTTCCTACCACGTTCCATATGTCAATATTGCAAAGTTAATTTCTTGGATGTCAATGATGAACGTTTCGCTATAGAACATCAAAATCGGGATTTAGTGGCCAGTCGTGATGTCTGTATACATGAATCCATGTGGAAAGTTAGCATAACCTTTAATATACGTTGTGATCGTAATGATATTGTGGACTCGGATCATCGTTTAAAGATAGTCTATCATCATCAGGAATTTAATGATACCGATATCGCTAAAAGAGTACGAAGAGAATTAAGAAATCAATCACCTTTCTTTGAGCAAGCCTTGTATGTGGCTTCGGTATTGGAAGAGCAACCAGCTGGCTCGACAGTCACCACTGTGAGAGCTCGAGATCCAGAAGATTCACCTGTTGTCTATTCCATGGTTTCTTTATTGGATTCTCGTTCTCAGTCTTTGTTTAAAGTTGACTCCCGAACTGGTGTGGTAACGACATCAGCCAGTTTGGATCGCGAACTAATGGATGTTCATTATTTCCGTGTGGTGGCCACTGATGATAGTTTTCCACCACGTTCGGGTACCACCACATTACAGGTAAATGTTTTGGATTGCAATGATCACAGTCCCACATTTGAGGCCGAACAATTTGAGACCTCCATACGTGAGGGAGCAACGGTAGGCTCCACCGTGATAACACTGCGTGCTACCGATCAGGATATAGGTAAAAATGCCGAAATAGAATATGGCATAGAAAGCGTAACGGGTAAGTTTCTTTAAATTTGTTTTATCCTTTAAGATTTCCTAATTTTCTTAATATTACTTTAACCCCTCCCTACATTCTTTATTAGATGGCACAGGTACCTTACAGGACCAGGAAATACCCATATTTCGAATAGATGCTCGCAGTGGTGTCATTGCCACACGCACTTCTTTGGATCGTGAAACTTCGGACAGTTATAATATTGTGGTTACCGCTTCGGATATGGCTTCGGCTCAAAGTGAACGCAAGACAGCCACAGCCAGTGTGTTAGTAAAAATCCTGGATGACAATGATAATTATCCGCAATTTAGTGAACGCACCTATACAGTCCAAGTACCCGAAGATCGTTGGGGTGATGATAATGTAGTGGCTCACATCAGGGCCACCGATGCCGATCAGGGCAATAATGCTGCTATACGTTATGCCATTATAGGTGGTAATACACAGTCACAATTTGCCATCGATTCCATGAGTGGTGATGTTAGTTTGGTCAAGCCTTTGGATTATGAAAGTGTACGCAGTTATCGTTTGGTTATACGAGCCCAAGATGGTGGTAGTCCCTCGAGAAGTAATACCACACAATTACTGGTCAATGTCCTGGATACTAATGACAATGCTCCGCGTTTTTATACCTCTCAGTTTCAAGAGTCTGTTTTGGAAAATGTTCCCGTGGGTTATAATATAATACGTGTTCAGGCTTATGATTCGGATGAGGGAGCCAATGCTGAAATTCAATATAGCATTTTAGAAAGAGATGATAATTTCCCTTTAGCTGTGGATTCTCGCACTGGTTGGATTCAAACCATTAAGCAATTAGATCGTGAAGAACAAAGTCGTTTTGCTTTTCAAGTTATAGCTAAAGATGGTGGTATTCCTCCCAAATCGGCCAGTTCTACGGTGGTTATTACAGTGCAAGATGTTAATGATAATGATCCTGTCTTTAATCCCAAATACTATGAAGCTAATGTGGGTGAGGATCAACCACCTGGTACACCCGTTTGCACAGTCACCGCCACCGATCCTGATGAAGATTCACGTTTACATTATGAAATAACTTCGGGCAACACCAGGGGACGTTTTGCCATAACCTCGCAAAATGGTCGTGGCCTCATAACTATAGCCCAGTCTTTGGATTACAAACAAGAAAAGAGATTTTTATTAACCATAACCGCCACGGATTCGGGTGGTAGAGCCGATACTGCTACTGTTAACATAAATATAACAGATGCTAATAATTTTGCTCCCATTTTTGAAAATGCTCCCTACAGTGCTTCGGTCTTTGAAGATGCTCCCATAGGTACTACAGTCTTAGTAGTCTCAGCCACTGATAGTGATGTGGGCATTAATGCTCAGATAACTTATTCCTTAAATGAGGAGAGCATTAATGGCTTAAGCAGTCCAGATCCGTTTTCCATTAATCCTCAAACGGGAGCCATTATAACAAATGCTTTATTGGATCGTGAAACCACTAGTGGCTATCTGTTAACCGTTACCGCCAAAGATGGTGGTAATCCTTCGTTAAGTGATACCACCGATGTGGAAATAAGTGTTACCGATGTCAATGATAATCCTCCGCAATTTAAAAATCCCTTATATCAGGCCTCTATACTAGAAGATGCCTTGGTGGGCACCTCAGTTCTGCAAGTTTCGGCCTCTGATCCTGATATTGGTTTAAATGGTCGCATTAAGTATTTGCTAAGTGATCGTGATGTAGAGGACGGTTCTTTTGTTATCGATCCCACCTCGGGTACCATAAGAACTAATAAGGGTTTGGATCGTGAAAGTGTAGCTATATATCACCTTACGGCCTTAGCGGTAGATAAAGGTTCTCCCTCCATGTCTAGCTCGGTAGAGGTACAAATACGTTTGGAAGATGTTAACGATTCACCACCCACTTTTCCCTCGGATAAAATAACATTATATGTACCCGAAAACTCGCCTGTCGGCTCAGTTGTAGGAGAAATTCATGCTCATGATCCTGATGAAGGTGTTAATGCTGTGGTCCACTATTCCATTATAGGAGGTGATGATTCCAATTCTTTTTCTTTGGTTACAAGACCGGGTTCGGAGAGAGCTCAATTGCTGACAATGACAGAGCTGGATTATGAATCTAATCGTAAACGTTTTGAATTGGTGATACGTGCTGCCAGTCCTCCTTTGCGAAACGATGCCCATGTTGAAATTTTGGTCACCGATGTCAATGATAATGCTCCTGTTTTAAGAGATTTCCAAGTGATTTTCAACAATTTCCGAGATCACTTTCCTAGTGGTGATATTGGCCGAATACCCGCCTTCGATGCAGATGTTAGTGATAAGCTCACCTATCGGATTTTATCGGGCAACAATGCCAACTTGATTAGATTAAATCAGACTAGCGGTGGCTTAAGTCTTAGCCCCCAACTCAATACTAATGTACCGAAATTTGCCACCATGGAGGTTTCTGTGACGGATGGCATCAATGAAGCTAAAGCTATTATGCAACTGGCGGTGCGCTTAATTACAGAAGATATGCTATTCAATTCGGTAACGGTACGTTTGAATGAAATGACGGAAGAAGCTTTTCTTTCACCTTTGCTGAATTTCTTTTTGGATGGTTTGGCCGCCATTATACCCTGTCCCAAGGAGAATATTTTCATTTTCTCCATACAAGATGATACGGATGTTACTTCACGCATATTAAATGTTAGCTTTTCAGCCAAAAGACCCGATGTCTCACATGAGGAGTTCTATACACCCCAATATTTGCAGGAACGAGTTTACTTAAATCGTGCCATTCTAGCTAGATTGGCCACGGTGGAAGTTTTACCTTTCGATGATAATCTTTGTGTCAGAGAACCCTGTTTGAACTTTGAAGAATGTTTGACAGTTTTGAAATTCGGCAATGCTTCCGATTTTATACACAGCGATACTGTTCTTTTCCGGCCTATATATCCTGTTAACACATTTGCCTGTTCCTGTCCCGAGGGTTTCACCGGCAGCAAGGAACATTATCTATGTGACACCGAAGTTGATTTGTGTTATTCCGATCCGTGTGAAAACGGTGGCTCTTGTATAAGACGAGAGGGTGGCTATACCTGTGTTTGTCCGGCTTCCCATACTGGAGTTAATTGTGAAACTGATATTAGAAAATTGAAACCTTGCATGTCTGACATATGTGAGGGTGGTTTGTCCTGTATGAATAACTATTTGAGCTCACAACCACCACCCTATACAGCGACTTGTGAACTACGTTCACGTTCATTCTCACGCAACTCTTTTCTCACTTTCGAAAGTCTCAAGCAACGTCATCGTTTCAATGTTAAATTACGTTTTGCCACCGTCCATGAAAATGGTCTGCTGTTGTACAATGGTCGCTATAATGAGTTGCATGATTTCATAGCTTTGGAAATAGTACAGGGTCATATTACGTTTACATTTTCCCTGGGAGATCGTATAGAAAAGGTGTCAATAGTACAGCATTCCAAGGTATCGGATGGCCAATGGCATGAAGTGGAGGTGGTGTATTTGAATCGTACTGTCACCTTAATATTGGATAACTGTGATACGGCCATAGCATTGGCTGGCAACTTGGGTGAACGTTGGAATTGTGCCAATCAGACAACTTTGAAATTGGATAAGAAATGTTCTTTACTCACCGAAACCTGTCATCGTTTTCTGGATTTGACTGGTCCTCTGCAAGTGGGTGGTTTACCCCGAATTCCTGCTCATTTTCCCATAGAAAATCAAGACTATGTGGGTTGCATTTCCGATCTACGTATAGATGAACGTTTTATTGATTTGAATTCTTATGTAGCGGACAATGGCACTATTTCCGGCTGTCCTCAAAAGAATCCTTTGTGTTCTTCAGAGCCCTGCTTTAATGGCGGTGTGTGTCGTGAAGGTTGGAATGTCTACACCTGTGAGTGTCCTGAAGGCTATGCTGGCAATCAATGTCAAGATACCATACCCGCTCCCTGGCGTTTTGCAGGTGATGGCAGCTTAAGTTTTAATCCTTTACTTAGACCCATACAACTGCCTTGGGTTACCTCTTTGTCGTTGAGGACACGCCAAGAAGATGCCTTTATTATACAAATACAAATTGGTCAGAATAGTTCGGCGATTATTTGCCTGAAAAATGGCATCTTGTATTATATCTATGACAATGAACCCATGTTTTTGGCTGGAGCTTATTTGTCCGATGGTGAATGGCATCGCATAGAAATCAAATGGCAAAGTTCTGAATTGCAGTTTTCAGTGGATTTTGGTCAACGTGTGGGTTCTGTGCCCATATCTCAGAAAATACAAGGCCTTTATGTGGGCAAAATAGTTATTGGTAATGCTGACAGCTCTATAGGTCATGTAGGAGATCTTTTGCCCTATGAAGGCTGTATACAAGATGTTCGCATAGGTGCGGCGCAATCAGTTCTTTCGCGTCCTACCATACGCGAGAATGTGGAGGATGGTTGCATATCGAAAGCTGAATGTCCTCAATCATGTCCCAGTCATTCTACTTGCACCACTTCTTGGGATGAATCGAAATGTGAATGTCTTCCCGGTTATGTGGGTGCGGAATGTTTGCCCATCTGCACGGTTAAACCCTGTGCCGCTGGTGTATGTCGTGCCAATGTTAGTGATTTTCGCGGCTATCATTGTGAATGCAATTCCACATATCAACATGGAGAATATTGTGAGAAGACGGTGCAACAACCCTGTCCTGGAGGCTGGTGGGGTGAGAAAGTTTGCGGTCCCTGTAAATGTAATGTTAAACAGGGTTATCATCCCGATTGCCATAAGACTACCGGCCAATGTCACTGTAAAACGAATCACTATCAACCTCCCAATGAGACCGCCTGTATACCTTGTGATTGCTATTCCATTGGCTCCTTTAACAGCGCCTGTAATCCTCTGACAGGCCAGTGTGAGTGTCGTGAGGGTGTTATAGGAAGAAGATGTGATTCTTGCTCAAATCCTTATGCAGAGGTAACACTCAATGGCTGTGAAGTTGTGTATGATGCCTGTCCAAGATCTTTTGCTGCGGGTGTATGGTGGCCACGTACTCCTTTAGGCAGTACTACTGTAGAAAATTGTCCTACACCCGCCAAGGGTAAGGGGCAAAGAACCTGTGACAATTTGTCGGGAGGTTGGAATATACCCGACATGTTTAACTGCACATCTGAACCGTTTGTGGAACTACGTAAACAGTTGTCACAATTGGAAAAAATGGAATTGGAACTCAACTCCTTTGTGGCCATCAAGACAGCGGAAAATCTACAAAAAGCTTGTATTACAGTAGATCGTACAAAGGTCCAGAAGAAACCTCCCATAAAAGATCATAGACGCTATAAAATGGAATCATCTTTCCTGCTAAATGAAAACAATAATGTATGGTCCAATGAAATAGAAATGGAATATCTTTCAGATGAAATGAAATTTTCTCATGATCGTTTGTATGGAGCTGATTTACTGGTAACCGAGGGTTTGCTGCAAGAGCTTATCAATTATGAATTAATGCAAAATGGTTTAAATCTCACACACTCACAAGATAAATACTTTATTAAGAATCTGGTAGAGGCAGCTAGTGTTATATTGGATCGTAAGTATGGCCAGGAATGGAAAAGAGCTTCGGAATTGATACAACGTGGCCCAGATGATCTATTGGATGCTTTCAACAAATATATGGTTGTTTTAGCCAGATCTCAACATGACACCTATACCAATCCCTTTGAAATAGTACAACCCAACATGGCTTTTGGTTTGGATATAGTAACCATGGAATCTCTATTTGGTTATGAACCCGAACAATTAAGTGAATATCACAAGACCAAGTATCTTAAACCGAATGCCTTTACTACGGAAAGTGTTATATTACCCGATACCAGCGCTTTCTTGCAACATTCGGCTAAACAAAAACCGGTTATCACCTTCCCCAAATACAACAATTACATACAAGATAAAACCAAGTTTGATAAATACACCAAAGTCTTGGTGCCTTTGGATATGTTGGGCATTTCACCACCCGAAAGTAATGAAGTGACCCATGGCTCTAGTGATTACAAAGCCATAGTATCCTATGCTCAATATAAAGATGTGGGTCAGCTACTGCCCGATATGTTTGATGAGACCATAACCAGAAGATGGGGTGTTGACATTGAAGTAGCTTCTCCTATACTATCGCTGGCAATTTTAGTTCCCTCTACCGAAGCCGAAGAGAAACGTATTGAAATACCCTATCGCAAGATATCTTCACAGAAGACTTTCTCGGTAACGGGATCTTCAGAACAGGAATTTATTGAAGTATTCGATGTACCCAAGAAACCAGGACAATCTTCAGGTAGTTCTGCCTCTGGCAGTGAAGAACATATGATTGAAAACATACGTATAACAGCTCATGAAATACCTCCCCCATCCTCCAGAGCAGAAGACAGTAATGAAGCCGTAGAAATAGAAGATGTTGAAGAACCTCATCTCAAGGTTAGATTTGATGATAATATAGAATTTCATGGCAATTCGGGAGAAGAAGTTATTGATTCCCCCGAAAACATGAATGGTGGTAACAACAACAACTATGAAGGTTCTATTGAACATGATGATTCCATAGAGAAAGGCGAAAATGAAGCATTTTATCGTAATCGTCGTTTGGTTAAGCGTCAGGTGGAGGTCATCTATCCCAATGAACAGCAGCAGCAAAATAAACATATCACCTATAGATCTTTGGGTTCACCCCATCTCTCGCAACCTATTAAACTGCAAATGTGGCTAGATATCGATGTTACACGCTTTGGTCCACGCTCCAATCCACAATGTGTACGCTGGAATTCTTTTACCAATCAGTGGACTCGCCTGGGTTGTCAAACTGACATACCCGACTATGAAAATATGCATTTGCTACCGCCACAACCCATACTAGTCAACTGCACCTGTACCCACATATCCAACTATGCTGTCATTGTTGATGTCATCGATCCAGAGGATATACCAGAACCTTCTCTCCTCGTACAAATCACCTCATATTCAGCATTCCTAGTATCACTGCCCGTACTGCTGAGTGTATTGATTGCCTTAGCTCTACTCCGTGGCCAGCAGACCAATTCGAATACCATTCACCAGAATATAGTGCTATGTGTTTTCTTTGCCGAATTGCTATTCTTTGTGGGTATGCAATCACGACGTAATTTACTTGAAAATGAATTCCCTTGCAAGCTGATTGCGATTTGTTTGCATTACTTCTGGTTGGCGGCATTCGGCTGGACGACGGTTGACTGTGTTCATTTGTATCGTATGCTAACGGAGATGCGTGATATTAATCATGGTCCGATGGGTTTCTACTTTGCAATGGGTTATGGTGCACCCGCCATCGTTGTTGGTCTATCGGTGGGTGTGCGAGCTCACGAATATGGCAATAGTCTGTTGTAAGTATATTATATGATTGAAAATTTGATTGAAAGTTTTTCTTTTTTTTTTTTTTTTTTGCTAATCGATTAAATTTTTTGTGTGTAGATGTTTCTTTTCCAATTCCTTCACGTTAGGTTTTGGAGGATTTTTTTTCTATTTTAAAATTATCCTGGTTTTAGTTATTTAGGTGTGTATACATGGGCACAATGTACAATGGGCCAGGATTGCGTAAATTTTTTTAGTCTATAGTGTATACTGTAGTCTACTCTATAGCCCTGACTATAGTTTACTCTACAGTCCAGACTATAGTTTACTCCATAGTCTATAGTTTACTCTTAAGTCCAAACAACAGTTTACTCTTTAGTCGAAACTATGTAGTTAGTTAGTTAGTTAGTTAATTAGTTAGTTAGTTAGTTAGTTAGTTAGTTAGTTAGTTAGTTAGTTAGTTAGTTAGTTAGTTAGTTAGTTAGTTAGTAGTTAGTTAGTTAGTTAGGTTAGTTAGTTAGTTACTTAGTTAGTTAGTAGTTAGTTAGTTAGTTAGTAGTTAGTTAGTTAGTTAGTTAGTTAGTTAGTTAGTTAGTTAGTTAGTAGTTAGTTAGTTAGTTAGTTAGTTAGTTAGTTAGTTAGTTAGTTAGTTAGTTAGTTAGTTAGTTAGTTAGTAGTAGTTAGTTAGTAGTTAGTTAGTTAGTTAGTTAGTTAGTTAGTTAGTTAGTTAGTTAGTTAGTTAGTTAGTTAGTTAGTTAGTTAGTTAGTTAGTTAGTTAGTTAGTTAGTTAGTTAGTTAGTTAGTTAGTTAGTTAGTTAGTTTAGTTAGTTAGTTAGTTAGTTAGTTAGTTAGTTAGTTAGTTAGTTAGTTAGTTAGTTGTTAGTAGTAGTTAGTTAGTAGTTAGTTAGTTAGTTAGTTAGTAGTTAGTAGTTAGTTAGTTAGTTAGTAGTTAGTTAGTTAGTTAGTTAGTTAGTTAGTTAGTTAGTTAGTTAGTTAGTTAGTAGTAGTTAGTTAGTTAGTTAGTAGTTAGTTAGTTAGTTAGTTAGTTAGTTAGTTAGTTAGTTAGTTAGTTAGTTAGTTAGTTAGTTAGTTAGTTAGTTAGTTAGTTAGTTAGTTAGTTAGTTAGTTAGTTAGTAGTTAGTTAGTTAGTTAGTAGTTAGTTAGTCGTTAGTTAGTTAGTTAGTTAGTTAGTTAGTTAGTTAGTTAGTAGTTAGTTAGTTAGTTAGTTAGTTAGTTAGTTAGTTAGTTAGTTAGTTAGTTAGTTAGTTAGTTAGTTAGTTAGTTAGTTAGTTAGTTAGTTAGTTAGTTAGTTAGTTAGTTAGTTAGTTAGTAGTTAGTTAGTTAGTTAGTTAGTTAGTTAGTTAGTTAGTTAGTTAGTTAGTTAGTTAGTTAGTTAGTTAGTTAGTTAGTTAGTTAGTTAGTTAGTTAGTTAGTTAGTTAGTTAGTTAGTAGTTAGTTAGTTAGTTAGTTAGTTAGTTAGTTAGTTAGTTAGTTAGTTAGTTAGTTAGTTAGTTAGTTAGTTAGTTAGTTAGTTAGTTAGTTAGTTAGTTAGTTAGTTAGTAGTTAGTTAGTTAGTTAGTTAGTTAGTTAGTTAGTTAGTTAGTTAGTTAGTTAGTTAGTTAGTTAGTTAGTTAGTTAGTTAGTTAGTTAGTAGTTAGTTAGTTAGTTAGTTAGTTAGTTAGTTAGTTAGTTAGTTAGTAGTTAGTTAGTTAGTTAGTTAGTTAGTTAGTTAGTTAGTTAGTTAGTTAGTTAGTTAGTTAGTTAGTTAGTTAGTTAGTTAGTTAGTTAGTTAGTTAGTTAGTTAGTTAGTTAGTTAGTTAGTTAGTAGTTAGTAGTTAGTTAGTTAGTTAGTTAGTTAGTAGTTAGTTAGTTAGTTAGTTAGTTAGTTAGTTAGTTAGTTAGTTAGTTAGTTAGTTAGTTAGTTAGTTAGTTAGTTAGTTAGTTAGTTAGTTAGTTAGTTAGTTAGTTAGTTAGTTAGTTAGTTAGTTAGTTAGTTAGTTAGTTAGTTAGTTAGTTAGTAGTTAGTTAGTTAGTTAGTTAGTTAGTTAGTTAGTTAGTTAGTTAGTTAGTTAGTTAGTTAGTTAGTAGTTAGTTAGTTAGTTAGTTAGTTAGTTAGTTAGTTAGTTAGTTAGTTAGTTAGTTAGTTAGTTAGTTAGTTAGTTAGTAGTTAGTTAGTTAGTTAGTTAGTTAGTTAGTTAGTTAGTTAGTTAGTTAGTTAGTTAGTTAGTTAGTTAGTTAGTTAGTTAGTTAGTTAGTAGTTAGTTAGTTAGTTAGTTAGTTAGTTAGTTAGTTAGTTAGTAGTTAGTTAGTTAGTTAGTTAGTTAGTTAGTTAGTTAGTTAGTTAGTTAGTTAGTTAGTTAGTTAGTTAGTAGTTAGTTAGTTAGTTAGTTAGTTAGTTAGTTAGTTAGTTAGTTAGTTAGTAGTAGTTAGTTAGTTAGTTAGTAGTTAGTTAGTAGTTAGTTAGTTAGTTAGTTAGTTAGTTAGTTAGTTAGTTAGTTAGTTAGTTAGTTAGTTAGTTAGTTAGTTAGTTAGTTAGTTAGTTAGTAGTTAGTTAGTTAGTTAGTTAGTTAGTTAGTAGTTAGTTAGTTAGTTAGTTAGTTAGTTAGTTAGTTAGTTAGTTAGTTAGTTAGTTAGTTAGTTAGTTAGTTAGTTAGTTAGTTAGTTAGTTAGTTAGTTAGTTAGTTAGTTAGTTAGTTAGTTAGTTAGTTAGTAGTTAGTTAGTTAGTTAGTTAGTTAGTTAGTTAGTTAGTTAGTTAGTTAGTTAGTTAGTTAGTTAGTTAGTTAGTTAGTTAGTTAGTTAGTTAGTTAGTTAGTTAGTTAGTTAGTTAGTTAGTTAGTTAGTTAGTTAGTTAGTTAGTTAGTTAGTTAGTAGTTAGTTAGTTAGTTAGTTAGTTAGTTAGTTAGTTAGTTAGTTAGTTAGTTTAATTCAGTTCCTTCTAATTTAACACTTCATCAGACCATTGTGCTTATGTCCATACACACACTTCAGCAATTATTCACCTTACTTCTACCTCCTCTCTATATAAACTGTTGCAATTTACTTAAATCATGTTTTCTACTTTTTTCTCCTTTTCCAAAATCTTTTTAATTTACAGCTGCTGGCTGTCAGTATATGAACCAGTTGTATGGTGGCTAGTGGGACCCATTGCCGGCATGTCAATTGTTAATCTTTTGATACTCTTCGTCTCTGTTAAGGCTGCCTTTACGTTAAAAGATCATGTTTTAGGTTTTGGCAATTTGCGTACACTACTCTGGCTATCGGTTGTCTCCCTACCTCTAATGGGTGTTATGTGGGTATTGGCCGTATTGGCAGCATCGGAAAGTTCACAACTCTTGAGTATGTTACTGTCAGGAGTTGTAGTGTTGCATGCCATTTTCTGCCTGGTGGGCTATTGCATTATCAACAAAAGGGTTAGAGAAAATCTACAGAGAACATTTTTACGTTGTATGGGTAGAAAGGTGCCACTGTTGGACTCCTCCATGGTGGTGAGTAATAGTTCACATAATGTAAATGGCACCACAAGGCCGAATAACTTTCTCAATGCCAATGGCTATGATACACAACGACGAAACGTGGGTATAAGTGTGTCGAGCACTACATCAAGGAGTACGGCCAAGACTAGTTCCAGTCCTTATAGGTTAGTACAGGATTTGCTTTTTTTAAATTACACTTAAACTTAATAAATAATTAAAAGTATTTCCTCTCCCAGTGATGGTCAACTAAGGCAGACATCTACTTCTACCTCCAATTACAATTCGAACAGTGATGCACCTAGTTTCTTAAGAGGTTTTGATTCTTCTACAACCAGTGGACAGCATGAACGTAAATCTAGAAGACATAGAAAAGATTCGGATTCCGGTTCTGAAACAGATGGTAGGTCATTGGAATTGGCTTCTAGCCATTCTAGTGATGATGATGAGTCTAGAACAAATCGTTCTTCTACTACAGGCACGGGCACCAGCACTCACCGCAGTACAGCTGTAAGCATAACACCCTCTTTTCTACCCAATATCACTGAACATGTACAAGCTACCACACCGCCCGAGCTAAATGTGGTGCAAAGTCCTCAGCTGTTCCCAAGTGTAAATAAGCCAGTCTATGCTCCGCGTTGGTCTAGCCAATTGCCCGATGCCTATATGCAGCCTCCCGCCAATATGGGTAGATGGTCTCAGGAGACCGGTTCCGATAATGAGCACATACATCATGGACAAAAAATGACCATATCACCCAATCCTTTACCCAATCCCGATCTCACCGATACCTCTTACCTGCAACAGCATCACAATAAAATCAATATGACTCCTTCGATATTGGAAAATTTACAAAATGCCCGTCCCACGGACAGTTATGATGGCTTGGAAAGGGAAAGTTTATATGGACGCAGACCCGATAATTATGTGCAATATGAAGGCATCACATCGAATATTAGCAACTATAAACCTCCGAGCCACTATGGCAGTGAGCATGACTACAATGGCAGCAATAATGGCAATCAGAGTAATGGCAGCAATGGCTCTGGCAATGTGGCAAATGGCAATAATGGCTCCAATGGTGGTGGTACTCAGATAGTCAATCATATGCGCACCTTCCACAATGACAATGCCTATTTGAGTGATAGTATTTATGATAAACAGCGAACAATAGGTTCACCCTATATGTCCAAAGATCGTATAGCACCCGATATTTATGGCTCCAGGGAAAATCATTATAGTCTTAAAAAACAGCCACCCATTTATGCGGGAGATTCAGTGCATTCCGTACACTCACTGCTGCGCAATGATTATCAACAACAGCAGCGGCACTTGCAGCAGCACAACGATCATCATTCGGATCGCATGTCTGAGGGTTCCGATAAAAATGGTTATCATTTCCCCTATACAGCCGAAGAGGATCATTTGTCTTCGGCTCGCAAACTAAGTTTACAACACAATCCCTCACCTGCCCTCCATAGTTCTCAACAAATACTCAACGGTCATCAGCCGCATCATCATGGTCATCATGCGGGCGGCATGGTGAATGATATAAATAATCCCGGTCTTATGAATAGACACACCCTAAATGGTTCTTCACGTCATAGTTCGAGAGCCTCATCACCACCCTCGTCTAGTATAGTGGCACCAATGCAGCCGCTAGCGCCTTTGACAAGTATAACCGATACAGAGTGAGTATTAGATTCGAAGTTAAAGTTTTTAGTTTTATTAATTTTATATTTATTTCTTTTTTAATGTTTGTTATATTAAGCGGTGTTATTTTGTCATATTTATTCTAATTTTTACTTTTTGGTAGTGCAAATTTTTATTCTTAAACTCAAATACAAACATTCATTCATAACATTTACTTAATTTATTAAGAGACAATTTTTTTGGGAAATTTAATAAGATTTTAATATGGAAAAGCTATTGGATACTAGTTACACGAAAATATCAACTATTTGCTTACATTCCGTGATTTAAACAAATACTTGGTTCAAACAAACACACACACTTATAAACAAAACTGAATTTTCGTAAAAACAGGGCCTTATTCGACCTTTATCTGTTCAGCCTTTATTTTTATCTTTTTTGAAATTAGTAATGAGTTTCATACAAGAAATTTAAAAAAAAGTTTTTCACATTTATTTCCTACTATGTTACACACGGCGTATGATAAACAAATAACTTGTATTTAGTTTTATATCGCTTATACGCCACATATTGGCAGTCTTTAACATTGATGGACTTTTGTAAAAAGAGATCAAATTTAAAAGGTTAAATTGAAGAAAAATTAATATTTTTGAAAACTATTTCAAAATTTGCTGAATATTGACTACTCAATGAACTTTTCTATTGACTGTTTATATTGAAAAGCTTATTGACAAGTACGTTAATTATTGGTTTCCCTTGCTAGTCTATTTACTAGACTATTGACGTGTCTACTGACTAGTCTATTGACTATTGCACTGACTGGTCTATTGAGTAGTCAGTTGACTAGTCTATTGACTGGTCTATTTAGCAGTCAATTGGTCTATTGACTAATCTGTTTACTATTTTATGAACTAGGCTATTGACTATACTATTGTCTAGCCTATTGACTAATTTATCGACTGGTCTATTGATTATTCTATTGTCTAGCCTACTGAGAAGTTTAATCACTAGTATATTAACTACTCTATTGACTGATCTATTACCTAGTCTATTGACAAGTCTGTTGACTAGTATATTGATTGGTCTATTAACTATTCTATTGACTAGTCTATTGACTAGTGTACTGACTAGTCTATTGGCTAGTTTACTGACTAGTCTATTGACTAGTCCATTGAATATTCTATCGACTAGTATATTTACTGGTCCATTGACTAGTCTATTGACTAGTCTATTGACTAGTCTATTGAATAGTCTATTGAATAGTCTATTGACTAGTCTATTGACTAGTCTATTGACTGGTCTATAGACTAATATATTGTCTAGTCTATTGACTGGTCTATTGACTAGTATATTGACTAATCTATTGACTGGTCTATAGACTAGTATATTGACTAGTCTATTGACTGGTCTATTGACTAGTATATTGACTAATCTACTGATTAGTCTATTGACTAGTCCTTTGATAGTCCATTGAATATTCTATTGACTGTTTTATTGACTGGTCTATTGACTAGTCTATTGACTGGTCCATTGAATATTCTATTGACTGTTTTATTGATTGGTCTATTGACTGGTCTATTCACTGGTCTATTGACTAGTCTATTGAGTAGTCTATTGACTGGTCTATTGACTAGTATATTGACTAGTCCATTGAATAATATATTGACTAATCTACTGATTAGTCTATTGACCATTTTATTGACTGGTCTATTGACTAGTCTATTGACTAGTCTATTGACTAGTCTATTGACTAGTCTATTGACTAGTCTATTGACTAGTCTATTGACTAGTCTATTGACTAGTCTACTGACTGGTCTATTGGCTAGTCTATTGACTAGTCTATTGGCTAGTCTACTGACTAGTCTATTGATTAGTCTACTGATCAGTCTATTGAATAATCTACTGTTTAGTCTATTGAATAGTCTATTTACTGGTCAATTGATTATTATATTAACTAATCTACTGATTAGTCTATTCACTGGTCTATTGATTAGCCTATTGACTAGTCTCTGGAGTAGTCCGTTGACTAGACTATTGCAAGTTTAGCAAGTTTACTGACTAGCATATTAACTAGTCTATTAATTGGTCTATTGACTTGTCCATTAAATATTCTATTGATTAGTCTATTGAGTAATCTATTGACTTATCTATTGACTGGTCTATTAACTAGCCAATTTACTGATGTATTGACTAATCTATTTGATACTAATATTGCTTCAAAATGTCCCCACATCCGCCATTCAAAATCAAGCTAACATATAGATAATTTAGCCTAGACATTATTCCATTAAAATTGTATTTAAGTGCTTTCTATAACATATACGGCACAATCAAGAATTAAGCTCTTTACTAGTTTTAAGTTTCCAAAAATTTAATTTAAAAACTTTTCTCAATATCATAACAAAAGTTTGCAAATTGTTTAATATTTTTATTAACTCTATTATTCCTAAATTTAACATATTAAAATCTTTCTAAAAAAACATTTTCTCTTAATAAAAACAAAAACTTTTGGTGTCTATTTAAAAAAAGACTGGCTTTTAATGGTTTAGCATATATTTTAGTGGTACGGCTTAATGAAACAAATTATATTTCTTTTTGTTTTTATTCACTTTAGTTTATATTTATCTACAAAAAAAAAAACTTAATCTCTTAACGAAACAAAATATATTTAAACTTTTTTCTATTTTTTTTTTTCCTCCACTCTCACCTAACTATCCATACTACTCTACATACATTGTTTTGGTTTGATTATGGAAAACTATAAAAAAACACACACTCAAAAATAAAAATAAAAAAATCCTTTCATCAACAATCCACAAAAAAAAAACTACCATCCTGATTTCCACGCCATTAAACTATAAACATTACCAACACCCACAAACAAATATATAAAAAACACACGTCCACTCCAACTACCAACAACAACAATAACTGCTATTGTATGTTTTGGTCATTGTTGTTTTCTGTTTTTCCTTTTTAACATTTCCTTTGCTTTATACTATTTTTTATTGTTTGGGTTTTTTTCATTTCTTTGTTTTTTTGTTTCAACATTAACAGTTCTTGGTCTTGGGAACGCTTAAAGAAAATCTAATCATAAACTTTGTTTCGTTTATATTTTCTTTTCTTCCGTTTTTTTCTTCTAACACGTTTTGCTGTGTATGTGTGTGCGTGTGAACATAAAAACTATAAAAATAAAATTTATGTTTTATTTCCTTTGCTTTATTTTGCTTCATTTTAATTTACTCACAACACACGCACACTTGCACACCAAAAAAAAAAAACAACAACAAAAATAATAAAAATAAACCAACATGCTCAAACAATAAAATCTGCTAATACAATTAAAATAACTACATAAATACACAAACACATATGCTTTTAACAACAACAACAACAATGAAACAAAACAAACAAATCACTACAACAACAATTTAACAAACATATTGCATTAACCTAACGGATATTGAAAAAAATGGCTTCTTAACAACAACATCATCTTAAACAACAACAAAACAATTATTGTAATCATCTACTCACTAATACCTTTACAACTTTAATTCTTAAAACCAAAAAACAACAATAAAAATGCTGCTCAATCTTACCCTCTCTCTCTCTAACTTGGTTTAAAATTAAACAAATCTTCCCCTCTAACTGTTTCGTCTTATACTCTGGGTGTCCTGTTGGAATCTTTAACTCTTTCCTTACTCTTTCTCTTTCTCTTTCTCTCTCGTAAAAACAAATTTAACACAACTGCAGATCAGAGGTAAACTACTACATATTCATTTAAACCTTTTAGTTTTTTTAGTTAATTTAATTAAATTATGTAAAGATATGTAATTTATTTATGTATATATGTTTGTATTATTATTTAACTTTAACTATTTACTTGTTGTTATTGTTTTAGTTAGTAATTATTTGTAATTTGTTTTTCTATGGTTTAACGTCATTAAATTTTTAATACCATCACCAAAAACGGTAAAAGATATTGGTTTGTTACTTCGTTTGATACAGATCGCAATAAGGGTGGTAGATTTCCACTAGTATTTAGTTATGTATATGAAATTCTGAGAGTCAACGTCAACGACTAGACTATAGACTAGACTGACTAGGATCTAGACTAGACTATAGACGAGATACTAGACTAGGCCTATACGAGAGACTACTAGACTAGACTATAGGACTAGACTATAGACTAGACTATAGACTAGACTATAGACTAGACTATAGAACTAGACTATAGACTAGACTATAGACTTGACTATAGACTAGACTATAGACTAGACTATAGACTGGACTATAGACTAGACTATAGACTAGACTATAGACTAGACTATAGACTGGACTATAGACTAGACTATGACTAGAATATAGACTAGACTATAGACTAGACTATAGACTAGACTATAGACTAGACTATAGACTAGACTATAGACTAGACTATAGACTAGACTATAGACTAGACTATAGACTTGACTATAGACTAGACTATAGACTAGACTATAGACTGGACTATAGACTAGACTATAGACTAGACTATAGACTAGACTATAGACTAGACTATAGACTAGATTATAGACTAGACTATAGACTAGACTATCGACTAGACTATAGACTAGACTATAGGACTAGACTATAGACTAGACTATAGACTAGACTATAGACTAGACTATAGACTAGGACTATAGACTAGACTATAGACTAGACTATAGACTAGACTATAGACTAGACTATAGACTAGACTATAGACTAGACTATAGACTAGACTATAGACTAGACTATAGACTAGACTATAGACTAGACTATAGACTAACTAGATCTAGACTAGATATAGACTAGACTATAGACTAGACTATAGACTAGACTATAGACTAGACTATAGACTAGACTATAGACTAGACTATAGACTAGACTAAGACTAGCTATAGACTAGACTATAGACTAGACTATAGACTAGACTATAGACTAGACTATAGACTAGACTAGAGACTAGACTATAGACTAGACTATAGACTAGACTATAGACTAGACCTATAGACTA